CCCCCTCGCCCAACAGCCCGCGAGATAAGCTTTACAACACAGCACAACCACTGCAGTAGTTACACGTGTCCGTTAAAGAATTTGCCCACACAAATCCTCTCCTCTTATTAACTTTACTGCTAATGGAGATATCAAGAAACTACTATACCGCAACCTGTTACTGTTACAAATTCATCACAACCCTGGCTATTCATCCGACCCACCACCAGTCGTATCTTTTCGCCGCTCATAAAAAAATTTGCAATGATGAATGCGTCATGCCTCACACTTCTCTTGTGTGCCACGATTTTCATTGCTGGTAAGGATTTTTATTAGATTCTTAGCTTTGTTACAAAGTTTATCGAGTAACACACCATAGCCTATACTTGCGTTGGGAGCACTGCCTTGCTTGCAGGAATTCCTCTGTTGTGCGCTGTGTGGCGACTGTCAAGTAGGCCTACCGTACCCGTACCCGCACGGAGCAGATATGAATGCACTATGGCTGGCGAGTTTTCTGTGTATTTGTATTTTCCTCACAGGTTGGTAAGAGTAGCTTGTGTACTATATAGAATAACTTTTTATTCAGTTGTGTGTTAAACTTCAACTGCGAGGTTAAGAATTCAGTGTTCTGAGGCAGTGGGCAATAAGAAAAGTGCTTTAGCGCGGAGAAAAAAATGTCCGATTCAAATCTGTAAAGGCCGCCCGCACACAGTGAAAACTTTGGGTACAGGTCTAGTTGAGGTCTCTATTCAGAACTTATTTGACCTGCTACGTAATTCCGGGGTCTCCACACTCTCTGCGGACAACATGGATATGTCAAGCGCAAAAGATTTGAACAAATTTTAAGAAGGGAGACCTCCGAGCTTTACTCAAATTTTGTATACATGTACCGTGATACATTTCCAGGAATGGGTCAATAAGTCTTGATATTTGTGCTTTATGTTAAGTTGTTAAGTTTTCTTTTCCGCGCCCTAAACGAATGGACTCTACTGACACTGTCCCGATTTGGATTGTTTTCTTTCTATTTCTTCAACGATATCAAAATGGTGAACTCGACTACTTGTGAACGTGATACAGTTGTGGACAGAGATATTTGCAATCTTAACTGGCTTAGCACTGGTGGGGGAAAACTTAAGTCAGTCATACGTCGGCTGCCACTAGATAATTCTGAATTTCTAATTGTTCTGTTGGGATTGTGAAAGTAATACACCCCCCCCCCCCCCCGCCCTTTTCCCCCTTCCATTGGAGAAAAAAAACTCTGCAGAATCTGGGTACTATTATAATTTGGAGCAAGAAATGGTAATTGATTATGTGAAATTTAAATAGATTTGGGGGCTCTCGTGGTTTAGAGGTAACGGTGTTCGCCTCTCCTTCAATAGGTCCTGTGTTCGAAATCTGACAGCGACGGAATATAATTTTCTTCTCTAAAATTTTCTCCTCGCACCCCCTTTCCTGCTCTTCAACCTCCTATCGTCTGCATTCGTCTCCACTTTCGAAGGTCCTGTGTTCACGTTGTGTACGTTAAAGATCCCTTGGTGGTCCAAAATAGATAAAAGTAGGCTTCGGTCGCCACCCGGGCAAAATTCAAAATTAATTCCTTGCGAACTAAAAATGCTCAATGTGTCAACAAGCTTGCACTGAACTATGGGGACAGGGTGGTATTTTATATACTAGAGCTCGTGGGAAGCGGGATTGGGGTTCAGATCCTTCATGTACATGGGGCACGACAGCCATGCCGATGAGGGTAAAAAGGCCCCCATGTCTGACACGTGTGAAGTCACTACAGCGAGCTCTAGTATTATAATATATGTATCCTCTTTGGTCTGCGCAAAAAGATTGGGACCGGCTTTTGTGGTGTAGCGGTTAGGTGCTTCGCAATCCCACGTAGGAGACCCGACTTCGCTTCCCGGGTGGGATGAAATTTTTATCGAGGACAAGCATGTAACTCGGTCTTTCTGCTGGGGTGTTGTATCCCTCTCAGACCGGGTTTGCCTTTGCAGGGTCAAAAGCCAGCCTCTTAAACTGTGTAAGAAAAACTCCAACCAAAATAAGATATTGGAGGCTATACTTTAATCTACCCGCAAGCATTGTGAATTTACAAGTCAACAGTCAAGTGTGCTTGCAATGTGTATGAATACAAACGGTTTGCTCTCTTGCTGACGTTTCGAGCTCGTTGCTCATACGTCATTGGCACGCAAATAAAACATTAATTATTAACATTTGTTTACAGTGTGTGTGTATAGATCCTAGGCCTTTATATGTAGATTTATGAGTCTCCCCACGAGTTGTGGGCACCATACAAGCTCTGTGGTCCAGGGCCGCCTTTTTTAGCCTGGCCATAAACAAAATATCCCGTAAAGCATGAAATATGCCGAATCTCTCACGCATGGTAATTGTATATAACGAAAGATCCGAGGCCGATCTTGGTTTAACAAAAATATATTTGTGGTCAATTTATGGGAGGAGAAAACTACTTGACACGTAAACATACATAAAACGCCCAGGCGCGGCCTGAATTTATTACTGTCGGCAAAAATAGCTTTGAGGTCTGATTAAAAACTTTCTCACTGCTGACGTGTTACTACTGTACGAGGAAGGCGCGCTGTTACTGTTAGTTGTTAGGTTAATTGATATCCCACTAGACTGTATCATGAGCTACCGTGGTTCAAATCTTCAACGGGACTTGAAAAAAATTGTTTGAAGACATTTCATGACTGTCCATCCACGGCGTCTGTGGTGTAACGGTGTTCTAATGAAGTGGGCTCTCGTGGTCTACAAGTTAGGGTGTTCGCCTCTCTTTCAATAAGTTTTGGGTTGGAATCTGAGGTCTCGTGTGCAAGTTGTGCATGTTATAGGGGGTGCCCACTAGCGCGATCGGGTCGGGTCGTGTCGTGTCGGGTCGGTAGTTGGGGCTAGCCAAATTGAGGGCGCAAAGCGGCCATAGTGGCACAAACCGATCGACTCGGTCGGTGACCTGCAAAAACATAAGCGTTTGTTTTCAGGCCTGCGAGTCGCGCGATCGGGTGGTTTGTAGCCAATCACAACAAGGCTGAGTCACGTGTCCATGTTGACACTCAAAATCCGGTGGCGCCCTCTTCGAAAAAGTGCGGACTTTACGAACAGAGTTACCCTACTTGTGTGAAAAATAATAAAATCGAAACTAACAAAATGTGCTATTCCTATTCTTCTTCTGGAGAAACGAAAGACACAGCGCCATCTGAACCATTGCGCGGACTTCCGCGGACACTTTTTTTTGACCGAGTGACCTATCTTGTTATGAACTATCGTTGATCATAGAAAGTTATCGATGTAACCCATGTTTATGGGATTCCAGGCTGCCGCTGAACTACAACAGGGAACTGCGGAAAGGAGCCCTGAAAGCCATTGAGATTAAAGGTTTCTCTACTTTAACTTCCAGGTCGTCGGGTACAATCGCG